CTGTTCTGACAAACATCACTGTAGAGTTGGGCTAGGCAACATACTTCTCAATCTGACTATGAGCTTTGATGTAGGCCTTCATCCAATGCTTTCTGGAATTATTCTGAAGCTGGGTTCCATTGCAGAACCTGATTTAAGTGGTGCCGTTCTTAAAAAATATCTCCATAAACTCCTGTAAAACACCTAAAACGGCCCATGAAGCTATAAGTCAAAATTAAAGCCACTCACGCACAGCGGCAGCGAAGAGGGGTGGCATCGACTTCCAAGTGGCAATCTATTCCACGTGACCCGGCAACACCTTCAAATTTGACAATTCTGGAATTTTCCCGAGGGCTGGCTCGAGACAGAGATCTCCAGCCCGGCGGCCCACTAACAAACGCAGTGACCAGAAGAGAGATATAGTAAGTTGCTTAGCGGATAAGACGTGGGTGAACACTCATTCCAGTGGCAGTATCAGTGACCCAAACTGCTGAATGAATTATCAAGCCAACAGTCATTGATGCTGGCTAAATTGTGGTAATTAACTACACGGATACGTGCTAGCAAGCCATTATTTCACAAATAAGACCACTGCCAGATATTGCGGGGTTACGTATTGTGGTGGACATGTAGAGGCACTGCCAATAGAAGCGAAGAGACGAGTCCCAGGAAGTAGTCTTGAAGAAGGAGACACGATCGCCGGGACAAGAGCTTTATTAGCCTGACGTTTCGGATTCCTACTCGAATCCATCATCAGAGGCAAAAAAGCAGAAATCAAAGTGTTCAGGAAAGCGACAAATACGATGCAAGTACTGAACTTCAACAGTAACCATCCAATCAGCCACAAACGCAGTTGTGTAAGGACGCTCTATCGGCGTGTCGAAACGCACTGCAGTGAGCCGGAAGACAAAATTGCCGAACTACAATACCTCCGATGAGTCTTCAAAGCCAATGGCTACCCGCGCAACTTTGTCGACCGGTGCATACGCAAAAGGGACGAAAGGCCTAACCGCACGGACACCAAATCTTGGCGGGCACTTCCGTATGTCAAGAACGTTTCGGAAGCTGTCGGCCGCCTTCTCGCACCACTTGGGGTTGGAGTGACACACAGACCGGAGGCAACCATCAGGCGTCTGGTCATGAAACCGAAAGACCCACTGCCACGGCTAGAAACGTCTGGAGTCGTTTATCGGATCTGGTGCAGTTGCGGACAAAGCAACTACGTCGGAGAAACTGGAAGACAGCTCCGAACGAGAATGGCCGAACACGAGGCAGCGGTGCGCAGAAATGACGCCAGCTCTCAAGTTGCGGCTCATTCGACGAGATCCGGCCACACATTTAAATTCGATTAGGCCGAAATTCTCGCAAGAGGTGACAACCGCGTGAGCCGGGAGCTACTGGAATCATGGTTTACTGACCCCCAGTCCATCAACAAGCGCAACGATCTTCCCACTCCATACTGCGGGCTAAAATTTCGCCTAGGCGGAGTAACAAGCCATGCGGGGAGCGCAGAGTTGAACACTTTTCCCAACACCGGGGTCGGTGCGTCAGATGGTCGAGCAATCATCACGCCAACATCCAACGCACGTGATGAAATTGCAGCAATTATCGACTCGAATGTCGGCCATCAAGCAGTGATCACACCACCTGCGACGATCTCGGATGAAGGGGGGAGCCGTGAATGTTCATAGGTATGCGGTAGCATGGCTACTCCATCCTATAAATACCGCAGCCCCTTGTGCAGCAACCACCCGTTTCTGCTTTTTTGTCTCTGATGATGGATTCGAGTAGGACTCCGAAACGTCAGGCTAATAAAGCTCTTGTCCAGCGATCGTATGTCCTTCTTCATATAGAGGCATGACAGCTACGCTCTGCAAACACCGCATCCTTTTTCAATTGAGAATTGGAAATGTGAGGTGAAGGAAGTTCTTGTCGTAAAGTCCATCTCTCCTTTAACATTGCATCCTGGACACCGCCTTCTCTTTTCCGTGCTTGCGTATTTCCCGGTCTGAGAACCAGACCAGAATTGGATGGAGGGGTCATACCCCAGACCGAGGAAACGTTCATCTATTACTTTTAGAAATACGGATTAATAATTCTGTGATTTCCCCGCAGTAAATATAGTGTGCGTACGCCCTTATTTAACTTATGTTGTGGAACTACTTAACGTTATTTATTTTCGAAGACCGGGATGGGCTGGACCATTATACTGAAATCTCAGCCATTGGCCCCGCCGTCTGTTAGGTCAGTACATTTTAAGGGTAATAAGCGATGTTTTTTGAAAACCTATCGTTCCTTACCACACTCGTCCGTGCACGTTTAGCCCAGTCCTTTGGAAGGGGACATGTGCTAGCAGGGTTGCTTTGGTTAACTTGTTCAATGTTTTAAAGTACTTAGCTAGCTCAGCACGCATTCCTTGATTATATTGATTAAGGCGGTTGACTTTGTTAAGCCCTGTCGATGTTTGAAAGCAAAAATCAGGTAGGCAGAGAGCCTAGGTATGGAAGAAAATGGGGATTAAAAAGTATGACACTGATAGTCCCTTCGAGGTATAGGAGAAATTTTGAATTTCTGAACGTCCTCGCCCCGTACCCATGTAATAAACACCCATTCTATAGTAATGTGCCTTCATCGGTCAAATTACGTAACGTGCTTGTCCTCTTGTCCCTTGGTGTTCGATCCAGAGACCTCACAACCTGTCACACAGTGATATGCAATATATGCAGATAATGACCATGGTTGGATGACGAAGATAATAAGCCAAAAACAGCCATCGTTGCTTCCTTTGTTTTTGGTGGTAACACGCTACGTGCATCCAAAGGTGTTTCTCCTGTCAGTTGTGTAGTATCTTGTTCGGAAAATATTTTGGCAGTGCCAAAGGTTATTTTATCCCTATGTGACGTATGTGTTACATGCCTTAGTAGTGACGATGCCTTTAATGCATATAGTAATCTTAGTTCCTGATTACATATCAAATATATCGAAATATTCGCTTAAACGTTGACTGAGTAAAATTTGCATTGAAGACATGTTTGACGAATTTAAAAATTGGTAGAGAGTGAGCGGGACTGCTAAGTGATGGTAGCAGATCAAAATGCTGGCGCGCAATGCCAAGCAGCTGTGTGTTTTGACTAACTACTCTTTCAACACATAGGAGACTAAAGTACTTAAACAGTCCCTTCATCAAGTTCAAAAATCGTTGCAGTCAGAAAGTCTGCTTGCTAGATTTTCTGAAGCAAATGACGTTATACAAATTTTGTTCTGACCTCTGGCAGGAATAGATGCTAACGATTCAAAAGCAGCCTGTTAGTACAAATCGACAAATCACAAAGTTGTCCTCGGACATTTGGGAATGACACTCAAGCTTCTGTCCATTGGTGCTCCAGGTGACGCCTTTTGTTATTGGCAAAATTTTACAATTATGGCTGATGGTAACGATCTTTAGCTGCAGCTGAACATTGGTGGTAACAACATAAGTGTGCCAGGAGTGCTATATACACCCTGCTCTAAGAGTTTCAGTCTTTCGGAACTTTGCGACCCGGTTGTCTCCAAAGCACCTAGAACTACGGGAATTGGTGTTGAGATAGAGGCTTGGCGAATCCAGACGGTGTTCTGCAGGCGACCGAAGACTTGATTGTCCCTGGAAATCCGGCAGGCCACCTCATCGTCGGTTTTGGTGCTCCAAGAGAACGAGTGCGGCCTAGGTAGGTACCCTGCCAGCACCAGCCCCGCCTAGCCCCGCCTGGCCCCCTCAAAAATGGCGGGGCTAGAGGGGGCAATGAGGGGGCTAGGCGGGGCTGTGGAAGGGGCTGTGGCGGGGCATGCAACGCGATAGCCCCGCCTAGCCCCGCCAGCGAAGAAAAATGCGCAGGGGACGCCACATCCCAGCCCACTTTTGGCACCACTTTAAAATATCGTCCCGATTGTCAAATATACGAATTAATAACACACACAGATTGTAAACCGGTGGACAAAAAAGAGTTTACGCAATGAGGGACTTAAACAAAACCTCAATATATTGTGCTCATCCGCAGCTACATTCAGTGGGCGTAAACGGATGCTTTCTCCATGATTTATAAGCCAATTTTGATAAAATAGCTCCTTTTAATTCCAAAGAAGGTACAATAAGTGGTGCTTTTGAAACATATCTTTCGATGCAAATACGCTTAAAAATGCTTCAATACAGAGGGGGCTCTGGCCCCACCCAGCCCCTTCCAGCCCCGCCTATGAAGGAGCCATGTGCTGGCAGGCGGGGCCCTGGCCCCACCCAGCCCCTTCCAGCCCCGCCTATGAAGGGGCAATGTGCTGGCAGGGTAGAGTTGTTGATGGCTTGCTGTGAGACGCCGCTCGCGTTGATTTGGGGTGCACTGTAAGCAACGTATGGTGGAGGTTGGCGCATAATCACGGTGTTCTTCATGTTGATGATTAGATCAAAGTCGTCACAGGCGGAGGCGAAAGGGTCCATGCTCCTTCGCATGTCCCCTTCTGTAGGTACGTTGAGAGCGCAGTCGTCGGCGAAGAGAAATCCATGAACGGTAGTTGTGGATAGTCGACACTACAATTGCATTCGCCGACATTTGAGGAGTTAGCCTTCCATCGCGGGGCGTTCGGCACGGTAAGCGTCGACTAGCATGGCAGAGGACATGAGATTGAAGAGAGATGGCGCGAGAACGCAGCCCTGCTTCATTCCGTTCGTCACTACGAATGCCTGTGAGTCGTCTCCGTCGTCGTGCTGATACACCATCTGCGTGAACCGCTCGGGACAACCAGATGCCTGCATGCTTTTCCACAGTCCTTTGCGATTTAATGGGCCAAAGCTTTTGCCAGATCCACGAAGGTAGAGCAGAGATGAATCCGCATTTCCAATTACGTCTGCTACAGTTGGTGGGCGGTGAAAATCATATTGATGGTGCCGCGATGATGGCAAAAGCGGCACTGGCTTCCCGGCAGGAGTCCCCGTTCCAGATGCCTGTTCAGGTGGTTGGGGAGGACGTGAATGAAGATCTTCTTGGTAACGTTAATCAGCGAGATTTCCCTACGGTTGTTGCAGAGTTGGCGGTTCCCTTTCCGCCTGTGGCGACCTTTAAATCCTGAGAAACCTGTCCTTGGAGCCACATCTTCTGGAATAGCGCGTCGGGTGATCCATAGGTTGGAAGGATCGTGACCGATCTGGGCGCTTTTCCGCTGGAGAGTTGCTGCACGGCCAAGATGAGTTCGTGAGAAGAGGGCGGGAGGTCGAAATGGGCGTTGGTTTCTACTTGAGGCAGACGGGCGATGGGGACGCCGAAGATGGTGGAGGAACGGTTGAGGACGCCTGCAAAGTGCTCGATCCATCGCTTCCGAGTTCTCGTCTTCTCAGTGAGCAGGGTGGTTCCGCCGATGCTGAGAAGAGGAGCGGTTTTTCTGGCTGTCGGACCGTAGACAACCTCGATTTTGGCGAATAAGTCACTTCTTCCGTTGCGCTCCACGCGTTTTTGAATCTCCTCAGCCTTGCAAGCCCTCCTGCGGTCCTTCATCGTCCGCACTCGCTATTGTACGAGGCGGTGACCGCGGTAGAAAGCTACTCTGTTGTCTGTTGTAGGGCGGTCAACGTAAGCTCTGTGCAGGTGGTTCTTCTCGGCCAGCAGGTTTCTGAGGAGGACGTCGTTGTTGTCGACATGCACGACCGATGACAGAAGGGGCGGTTAACTGGGCTGTGTCCCTTAGTTGGCACCATCGATTCTGCACAGTGCCATCCTTGTTGGCGGCGACGTCCGGAAAGCTTGCTGGTCCCTGGGCTAATTTATTACTGAAATGGGAATAATGAACAGGCAAATTCAAAAAGACAGTATTTATCTTACTTGGCAGTCGCCTACCTTGAGGTCTACCGTGTGGATATAGACAGATGCGCATCTCGTGGAGGACTAGGCGATGACCGGTGCACCCATCGGCACCTCGGACCTCCTTTTTCGTCAGCACGTCTTGCTGGTTCCGTGTTCGAAGGAGGACATAGTCTAGTGGCTGCCAGTGTCGCGACCGAAGGCGCATCCAGCTCGTCTTCTCCCGCGTCGGCAGATGGAAGAAGGCGCTGTTCAGGATCAGACGATTTTCTACATGGGTTCGCAGGAGGAGCAGGCCATTGTCATTGGGACCAAAAGACCATAAGGACCTATTACTCCTCTCCAGGCAGCACGGTCTATGCCGACGGTGGCAATGAATTCATAAAGGACAACTAACTTATTTGGTGTCGGCATAGTGGCAGGCAAGGCGCGCAGGTCCTCGTAGAATCAGTTCCTTGCAGCGTCAGAGCTGTTCATGGGGAAGCATAGTCGCCGATGATACCGGCGAACTTGCCTCCTTAGAGAGACAGGCGGAAGCTCATCAGGCGTTCGTTGATGTCGCGTGGCAGACAAGGCATTCGTCCCACGATGTCGTTTCGGGTGGCAAAGACGGCTCCTCGGTCTCGTCGCCCTGCTCTGGGGCGGCCGTTCCAGAAGAATGTGTGGCCGGCACCCGTCTTCTTCGGTTGACCTTGTTCCGAGGAACGGGTCTCGCTTAGTTCAGTCATGTCTACCTTGTGGCGCGTCAGTTTCAGGACAACTGGCGCCGTCTTTCTCTCCGACCCGTTGTTCCTGGAGTTATCTGACAATAGTCGAACACTCCAGGACGCCAGAGTGAGAGGACTCACCCTAGTGGCGTGCGGGTTGGGCAGAGAAAAAGAGGAGGAAGAGAGAGTGTTTTTTCTGTTTTTATGGTTTTAACCGCATGTGTAGCAATCTGAAAGAGGCGGTCTGCGCGCAGATGTCGTAAACTCAGTTTTGTTTAAAGCATCCTTTATAGCTTGTGCCCCTAGCGGGGGAAATGGCATTCTTTCTAAATAGGCTTACTTTGTCGCACCAGACGGATACCGCTCTCCACTATCAGTCACTGGGTATAGGGAGAAACGACCAATGGCCTGAACCGCCTATGTGATTGCATGTCGACCTTACCGTGAGACTTGTCGACTATCGGGTTGAAGAGGAGGGTGAAGAGTGGAGCTGGGGGAGAGGGAGGGGACTGGGGAGAATAATGGGAGGAGAAGGACAAAGTAAGAGAGGGGAAGAGGAGAATAGAAAGGAGGAGGGAGGGGGAGAGGGGGAGGGGGAGGAGGGTGGAGGGGATAGGAAGCGTGAGGAGGGAGAAGAGGTGCAGGGACGGTGGAAGGAAAGGGAATAGAGAGGGAGACAAGAGGGCATAATTGTTTTGTGGGAGATACACACATGGTCACCCTCAGCGGGTTTTAGCCAACCTGTCGAGACGGCTACCAGGCTGTGGCCGCTGACCATGGTTTATCGGCAAGGAGCCACGTGTGAGAGTTGGGTGCCAGTTAATGGATGTTAGGCGTAGCCAACACCTGGGAGCAGGTGAGCGATCTGCTAAGATCTTCACGTGATCCACAACCGGACACCCCTACATCCCTATAAACTCATAACAATAGCCCCAGTCAGGTTATTTTGTGGGTCTGTTACATGGTTTGACAGAAATGCTTTCTTGTATCCAATTTCTCTTCGTTTCATGCACATATAGTAGGTGTTCCCGAGGTTTGTTGCGGTGACCAGTTGAAAGATGTGCTCCCACAGGGTAAGTTAGTGCAATCCATCAATAATGCGGATGATCTGCATCCTCTGAAACTTCCCGTAGCCCAAAGGGCAAAGATTTAGGTTACTTACAAGAGCGGCTTAGAAAGAAAGTGAGGGACGAGGAAATCCAACATGCTAGACTTAAGATAGCTACGACACAGTCATTCTGAGATGGTTTTGAAAGCATCCGACATGACAGTAATAAGGACTTTTGCATCATTGCGGGAAAGAAAGTTACGCCATTCCAATGATCTAATATAGTTAATTATTAAGTCGTTGTCCACGCAGTCGTAATTTGGGTAGGTCCGAACTGCGCAGTCTTCCTTTAAAATTTAAGCAGTAGGCAACCGTTGACTCCTGCGGTTCGACGTTGGTAAGTATAGCATTCATCGCCTAGGCGACCCAACCAAGTCCGCCAGCACAAGTGAATACGTTCTGGTTGGTGTAGCCTAACGAGACGTCGAAGCCATAGAGGACCTCGGTGTGGTGACGACGAACTCCCTAAAACCATCAGCTCACTGTTCGGGAGTGGCAAAAAGCGCAATGTACGTACCGTTCGACATCAATCGTGCATATATGGATTTTGACGAAGACGCTGTCTCAAAGACATTCGGAACATTTATGCCGCCGCAATTGGACTACAGCATACAAGCATGGAGACTGTGGGCGGTTCAAGATCGAAATCATGTCGAAAGAATTCAGAGGAGAGCCACGAAGATAGTAAAGGGTCAAAGCCTTTTCTTATGCAACTCGTCGAATAAACCTGAATCTCTTCTCCTTGAGTTATAGCCAACTTCGTGGGGATCTCTTGTAAGCATTCCGCATAGTAAAGTGGTCGGACTGCAGCCTGAACTTTAAGGACTATTTCAATTCGCTGCCACAACCAACCTCTGAGGTCACCTCTTGAAACTGCGCACTCAGCAGGCAAGGCTGGATGTGCGGAAGTTCTCCTCTGTCCGAGTGGTCAAACCATAGAATGCCCTCGCCGCAGGTGTTGTGATGACACAATCGATACAAAGCTTTAAAAGAACCTTGACATATTTATGTTCGAGCTCATTCTCTGAGACTCAGTCCCAGTTGTTAAACCATTAGGGGCTAGTTTGAAATATTTCAGCCCAGATAATTTCCCAATATGCCGTGCCCAATTTTACGTTGCATATGGAGTATTCAAAGGCTCACGCCTATTTCCCTCAATAACCTGAACTGAACAGAATTAATACGTGGTCACTACTAAAAAGGTCCTTTATAAAAGCAATGAAAATAGAAGCATTGTGATTAATATAAGTATGATCTAAAATGTGATTATCTCCTGTTGGCGAGTGCACAAGTTGGAACCAGTATGGGAAATTGACAATATCACAGAAGGCCTAAATTTTAGTGGCGTAATATTTGATCTCCAATCTATTTCAGGAGGTTTGGAATTTCCAGTGATTTTTTGAACACCGAAAGCCGATTCCGAACATAATTTATGGATTTCACAAAGATATGCATCGTAACTGACTGAAGAGTTGGGGGATTATAAATGCACCCAAGAAGAGCCTTCCCTTGTGGCGAGAGAAAAATTGGTGCGAAACAAACATTTCCGAAGAATGACAGGGCATTCAGTTTATGGAGTAATTGCTTTAGGAATTATCGGATATATAGAAGACAACCGCTCCCACCCTGTGCGCGGTCTCGACAATAGAAACCAAAATCGTCCGTAAAAGAGGAATAATTAGGAATTAGCGGATGCCTTTTTTGATTTTATTATCAAACTTCATTTTGAGAGCAATGGTTCTGACTTGAGTCATCTTCATATCCTACCTGACATTTCATAATGTAATGTTTAATGCCTTTCGAGAAGCGTGGCGATTATCAATGTCATTTAGGTAAAAAAGAATTTAGAGTTGGATAAATAGTCTATACTACTGTTACTTGAAGAATAAGTATCGATATATCCAGAACTATGGACGTACGGAGAGTCATCCGCAAAAAGCTGAAATGGAAACCTAAAAGATGCAGGAATATAGTTATCACATAGGGGAATACAATGAGATTTAGAGCAGGGATAGGCTTGTCGTGGTTAACACCGATAGGAAGAGCTAAAACAAACATAGACGCAAGTGCGGGATGGTAAGCAGCTATAAGAATTAGGTGGCGGGTATCTAGGTCTAGGGTTGAGGTTAAGGGAGGTAGGGTGACTTACATGAGAGCTATCGGTTTCAGGTGATTGGAGGCCTGCAGTAGACTGGAAAGTAAGTGATTAGGACAATTCACGCAAGGACTAGTGTCAGGATAACTAATACGGTGTTTGTTGGTGGGCGGCATGTGAAAAAAGATTTATTTGGAGATATAACTGGGCCTACAGGGTTTTTGTTTGACTTCGGGTGAAGAAAACAACGAATTGATGAACGTCCGCCTGAACAGTGGTGGTATTTACCCGAAAGGTTTGTATTTTGCCAAATATTTGGCTTGTGTTTCATGCCAAAAACAAATATCCAACACTCCAGGCCAGCAGGGAATACTGTTTCACACGGAAGGCCCTAATGCTTATATGCGAAAGTTTACCGCAAGCAAATAAGCCTACAGCTCAACACTCTTCTTAGCATCTACGACCCAACTTATCCTACCTCGACATGTAGTCTGCTCAAATTCGGAAACAGAATGATCAACATTGCACGTGCTTGTTAGCAGATTTTAGTCAAGTCGTGACTCAATGTTGTTTAGTTACTGCAAGACATTATCAAACAAGACTCTATAGGAATTCCGGCTTCCACGCTATGTGACAATTTCAATGTTGTGACCGACAATGTCCACCGAATGCGCCACGGCACTTTTAAGGTAGGCTCGGTGACTGGCGCGTGAATTAGTGGTAGTAGACATTCGCTGCGTCTACCGCACTTTCTCCTCCCTCATCTGACGCGGTGTCAAGACATAGT